CTTCATCACTGTCATGTTGCTACTGTTATGAATTGTCATGTAAATATCTGATATGCAGGATGTATTTTCATGGTTACACATTGAGCATAATGAAAGCATAGTGATGAATCACAAAAACAATATGTAATGATATATGTGTTTTCCGATGGTCTTAGGCGACCCCTGTGAAAGGGTCGTTCGACCCCTAAAGGGGTCGCGACCCACAGGTTGAGAACCACCGCTCTAGAGGTTCCCCACTCGGTCCAGGGACATCCCCGTCCCTCAGCCTCTGGCAAAGGAGGCCGCCCAGACTCCGCACACACCCCACCCCCACCCCAGGCCCTGCCCAGGCATTCCAGCTCAGTCTATGAGCCCCCACTCTGCTTTTTGTTGGGACTAAAGTCAGGTACCTTTGGGGAGATGGGGAGGTGGGATGGGGTGGCCTCCTCCCCCTACTCTTGGGAAGGAGGACCCGGAGCTGGCTAAGGGCCCCAGCCACCCAGCGACTTGGTGTGGGAGCCCAGGCGGGGGTTTCTAGCCCTGCGGCCTGGTCATTGTGCTGGCACCTCACTGCTGTGAGCAGTCAGCCAGGCCAGGGGCAGGGTTAGCGGGGCCCGAAACCTGTACACCCTGCCTGGAGAGAGCTGCGTCCTGTGCTTTCGGGGGGAGGGGGGCTGGCGCTGGATGTGCCCCACGTTGGCAGCCGAGCTGGGCCTGCAGATCCTCTCCAGGGAGCTGGCAAGGGCTCAGAGCCCAAGGTGTCCCGCCTGGAGTTTCGGTCGGCTTGTGGTTTGACTGTTCAGCCTTCGTTCCAGGGCTGCGTGTGGGGAGGCGGGAAGGGCCCTGAGCCCTGCTTGTCCCCAGCCCTCCTGAGCCGGTCCCCTGCCCCGCTTCCCCTCTAGGCTCCATCGTGCGCTGCCTCTCTGCACACCCATGGACGGATGAGCAAACGGGTCCAGAAAAGGCCAGCGGCCTGTCGGGGTCACAGAGCCCATCACGCCGGCTGAGCCAGCTTCACCCCTTCGTAGGCCAGCCCGGCACCTCTGGCACATCGCTTAGCTCCCCGTGCCCACCACTCCCACCCTGCGCTGGCCCTGGCTCCAGGAGAAGGCCTCTGACTGGTCAGAGGTAGGTCTGCCTTGTATGGATCCTAAGATCCCAGGCGGCGGGGCGGCGCCCTCTGCTGCCTGTGGCTGGAAATGCAAGGACGCTGTACCCTGCCCACCTATCCATACTGTGTGCTGTGTGCGCGACTCCGGGTCAGCCCTGTGGCCTGAGACGGGCTTTCTCACCAAACGTGCAGAGCTCCCAGGACATCTGGGCAGGCAATCGGGAGTCCCCGCTGCATTTTACAGTCGGAGAAACAGGCCACTTTGTGCCTCAGTTTCCCCACCTTTCACTGGAAAGCTCAGACACCC